CCCAAGTTATAATTTTTTTAATTCTCACCTTAAGAAAAGTCGCATCCACATAATAATAATTATTTGTATATTACAAAAATATATATTTTATATTACATTAAAGGTTTAAGATGAAATAAAATATTTATCTAAAGTTGTTTAAGATAATGATTTATACTTCAGAGTTGTTATCACATCTTTTAATTTGTGAGTACGTAATAACTCGTTAGCATAAACATCTTCTTGTTGAAGCCAAAATAATTTTAGCTTCTCAAGCATGTTTAGAGCTTTATAGCATGAAACTTTTTGTATTTCCATACTACCATCCTCAAAATTATTTCCTTTCTCTTCTTATTAAATTGCAACAATGATTTTTTCTTTAGTTAAAACATACATGATTTGTTGCTCATTAGGATGATCAAGAAAGACATTAATATCCATTCGATTAGTACAATGAAGTTGTTCACTCAATTCTGCAATGACTCTTTTATTCTTCTCATCCACTTCATTTGTAACTTACAATTCATCGACATCAGATGTCCTAATTTTGTAATGCTTAAAACCATTGACAATTGTCTGTGGCTTCATATCAATTAGCCATGCATCAACTGCATTTATAGTTCCATCAATGACACTTATTTTTGCTAGTTCCAAGACACAATCTTCTATCCATTTCAAAATTAGACAATTGAAGCGCCGAATTAAAATCCTTATACTACTAAAATATGAATTAAAATCCTAATATTGTAATACTAAAACTGAATTATAAAATAAGAAATCAAAATAATAATTTTTGTAACTACACCTCCATTAAGTTATAACCTCCTCATAGTAATAAAATTAGCTCATCCTACCATTATGACTATAGAAAGGTTTTACTGTAATTGTATGAGCATTAACTTTATATTAAATTTTTTCTTTGATATTGTCAAATTAAGTAGTTTAAGTTATAAGTTATTTTATGAATTATTATTTTACGTTATTTGGAATCACATATATTATAAAATTAGAATTAAGGTTTTCCTTTTTTTTTTTTTTTTGCTTATGATTTGTTTGGATAATTTTTGTGGTAGAATTATTAAACTTTGAATAAAATTTTTATTTCAAACTATTAATATTTTTATTTACCATTTTGATTAGTTTATTCTAATGTTTTAAAACCCGACCCAGCCCAGGCCTTCACCGAGCTAAGTTACCAATTTCTTTATTCACCGAAAACTCTAGAAATTGGGATGATGATCAGCAAACCATTGAAGGCTGGGATGTTAGGGGATTTGAAGAGAAATGTTTGGTGAGTGCAATGGTGGTGATGAAGGTGATTTCTGATGAGTGAATCAACTAAAAATCGAAAAAAACCTATGGCGGCAATAGCCAGCTTTTGTTGGTGATTGGCGAGGCGAACGGGGGTGGGGTGAGATGGGTTTTGGTTAGGAGGCTGAAGGGGAGTATTTTCATGGTGATAGAGAGGGTTGTCGATGCCGACGGTGATGAGATCTAGCCAAAATCGAATCGATTTCGACCAAATCTTGAGTAGATTTTTTGGGGAATGGCTCAGGGGATGATTGAGATTGCATTTGGTGTGTCGGCACCACCAACCAGTCGACAGCCAATTTATATTTAAGGTGTGTTTGCTAAATTTCAAACCTGTCAAAAAATATTATTTTGACTTAGTTATTTTTAGTGCAAGTGATATATAGATAAAATATGTACTACATTGATAATTAATTAAAGGAGCATATCAAATTAATATATAAACAATGATAAAAGAGGTAAACATAGTTTCAAAAACTAGTACATATCTTTTTTGTAATATATATATATAATTATTACTATGTGAAGATAAATTTCTTAAAACATGACCTAGAAAAATTATAATTTATTATAATNTTCGAAGGATGTTATTCATCCAGAAAAAAATGTTTAATAAATTCCTTATGATTTCTTTTATTAGTTGTTTTTAACTAATGAATCTAGACATACGTATGTCTACATTATTTTCTTTATTCAATTATCCTTATTTACTCAACTGATTGGATATTCCTGTTATGTATCTCTCTCTTTTAAATTAATATTTTTCATGTCCATATTTTAAATGGTTTATATTTTCATATAATCATATTTCCTATTTATCTCTTAATTATCAATTGTTTTTAATTATTTTATTCTATTTATCTCTTCATCAAAAAATTTATCGCTTATCTCAAAATAAGTTATGTAATTAAATTGTTTAATCTATAATTACTAACTTCATATATTTTGTTTAACTTTATATAGTAAAACTTCTATATAGTGATACTTTATATAGGAATAAACTTTACATAGTCATAAAAAATTCTAGTCTCAAGTTATAATTTTTTTAATTCTCACCTTAAGAAAAGTCGCATCCACATAATAATAATTATTTGTATATTACAAAAATATATATTTTATGTTACATTTAAGGTTTAAGATGAAATAAAATATTTATCTAAAGTTGTTTAAGATAATGATTTATGCTTTAGAGTTGTTATCACATCTTTTAATTTGTGAGTACGTAATAACTCGCTAGCATAAACATCTTCTTGTTGAAGCCAAAATAATTTTAGCTTCTCAAACATGTTTAGAGCTTCATGGCATGAAATTTTTTGTATTTCCATACTATCATCCTCAAAATTATTTCCTTTCTCTTCTTATTAAATTGCAGCAATGATTTTTTTCTTTAGTTAAAACATACATGATTTGTTGCTCATTAGGATGATCGAGGAAGATATTAATATCCATTCGATTAGTGCAATGAAGTTGTCGAATCTGATCACTCAATTCTGCAATGACTCTTTTATTCTCCTCATCCACTTCATTTGTAACTTGCAATTCATCGACATTAGAGGTCCTAATTTTGCAGTGCTTAAAACCATTGACAATTGTCTGTGGCTTCATATCAATTAACCATGCATCAACTCCATTTACAGTTCCATCAATAACACTTATTTTTGCTAGTTCCAAGACACGATCTTCTATCCATTTCAAAAGTAGACAATTGAAGCGCTGAATTGAAATCCTAATACTACTAAAACATGAATTGAAATCCTAATATTGTAATACTAAAACTGAATTATAAAATAAGAAATCAAAATAATAATTTTTGTAACTACACCTCCATTAAGTCATAACCTCTTCATAGTAATAAAATTAGTTCATCCCACCATTATGACTATAGAGAGGTTTTACTGTAATTGTATGAGCATTAACTTTATATTAAATTTTTTCTTTGATATTGTCAAATTAAGTAGTTTAAGTTATAAGTTATTTTATGAATTATTATTTTACGTTATTTGGAATCACATATATTATAAAATTAGAATTAAGGTTTTCCTTTTTTTTTTTTTTTTGCTTATGATTTGTTTGGATAATTTTTGTGGTAGAATTATTAAACTTTGAATAAAATTTTTATTTCAAACTATTAATATTTTTATTTACCATTTTGATTAGTTTATTCTAATGTTTTAAAACTTGACCCAGCCCAGGCCTTCACCGAGCTGAGTTATCAATTTCTTTATTCATCGAAAACCCTAGAAATTGGGATGATGATCAGCAAACCATTAAAGGCTGGGATGTTAGGGGATTTGAAGAGAAAGGTTTGGTGAGTGCAATGGTGGTGATGAAGGTGATTTCTGATGAGTGAATTGACTAAAAATCGAAAAAAACCTACGGCGGCAACAGCAAGCTTTTGTTGGTGATTGGCGAGGTGAACGGGGGTGGGGTGAGATGGGTTTTGGTTAGGAAGCTGAAGGGAAGTATTTTCATGGTGATAGAAAGGGTTGTTGACGCCGACAGTGATGAGATCTAGCCAAAATCGAATCGATTTCGACCAAATCTTGAATAGATTTTTTGGGAAATGGCTCAAGGGATGATTGAGATTGCATTTGGTGTGTCGGCACCACCAACTAGTCGACAGCCAATTTGTATTTAAAGTGTGTTTGCTAAATTTCAAACCTGTCAAAAATTATTATTTTGACTTAGTTATTTTTAGTACAAGTGATATATAGATAAAATATATACTACATTGATAATTAATTAAAGGAGCATATCAAATTAATATATAAACAATGATAAAAGAGATAAATATAGTTTCAAAAACTAGTACATATTTTTTTTTGTAATATATATATATAATTATTACTATGTGAAGGTAAATTTCTTAAAACATGACCTGAAAAAATTATAATTTATTATAATATGAAATTTATTCTTATATATAATTCACCAAAGTTGATACAAAAAACAAATTATAATTATATAGAAGTTATTTATATATAAAATAGGGCTATTCAAGATTCTTCTGCGGATGTGAATATTCATTAGAGAGATGGACATACGCATAGATTTTAGAATCTAACGGTCTAATCTAAACCAACTCGCTCCATTAAGCATTTTGATTGAAATTGACATAATTTCCACAAAAGTGAAGACTTTTTGAAACCTGGTAAGAAAAGTAATACATATTATCAATAATACAGGTAAATTAAAATGATAGTCTCTCATTTTATTTTATTTTTATATTCATATTTCATTGTAGCATGAGATTTCTCTTGAGAGTTGCGTTTATTTAGTCATTACGGTCCTTCACCAAATATTTTCATTATTTTGTATACTAATTTAACAATTTTATATCCTATTTTAAAGGTTTTACAAAAATAAAAAAAACCTAAAGTTAAAAATATTCAATCAAATAAAAATCTGTAAAAATAATTATTATAATCAACATTATTACTAAAGATTTACAGTAATAATGTATCATTCATTATTATGAATTCAAAAATATATCATTATTATCATCAAAATTATATTGCGTAATGTTTAACACGTAACTATTAATTCCAATCAAAATCAAACCCCAATTTATAACTACAATACCGCATAGATACACTTCACAATTATGACATACACTCACACACACACACACACAAAAAGTTAATTGAATAACAATATATATTATTAAAAACAAAAATATTTTGTTAAAAGTTGAAAAATAGATTCTAAATTTTTAAAATGAACACATTACTAATTAATACAAACTCTGGGAAAGAACACATTCGAAGTAAATGGCAAAATTTTAATATAAAACTTAGGTTAAACATTCCCACAATAAGTTCGATGAATCTAAATGCCTACATAACTTGGCCTCCCCTTTTTTACTGAATAAATTGGAATCAAGTATCTCCTTACTAATCTACTTGGTACAAAAACTTGTATTCTCATCCTGAATGATACCCTAAATATCAAGCTGATCCAGACTAATCAAGTTTGCAGAATTCTGGATGAGTTCCTTCCGAGTGTCGACCTAAAAACAAGAATGCACGTAAGAACAATGTACACATACCTTTATCTGACTTTTGGCATACATTGTTAACGCCAATAGCTAAAAAAGTGTTTTCTGATCAGGTGAATAGTGTATCTGGTGTCATTGATGTTTAATGACAAATAAATTGTCAAGGAGTGGATTCTATATAGATATTGCATATTCCAACCCCAGTCCCGAAGGGTATAACAATGTCAAGAAGCTGTCATCCACAATTTCTCAGACTCTACTTACCCGGGCACCCATAAGGGAGGAGAAAACGACATTTGCTTCTGCTGCATCCTCAACTGCCAGTTGCTTCAGCAGTCTTTTCTGTGGGTCCATGGTTGTTTCCCACAGTTGTGCAGGCATCATCTCTCCCAAGCCTTCGTTGTACCCAAGAGCAAAATGGTTATTTAAACTCCAATAAAATTTCTTATCCACATTAGTGGTCAGCAATCACACGCAGGGGGCTTGCTATTCATTATTGTCATAAAGTTCAAAGAGGCATTTGCTAAAATCATGGACAGTTTATAAAGTGTAAAACAAAAAAACATCAACTTTCTGTCATTGTCCTCATCCCTATTTTCAATTCTTTAATATATAATTCAATAATCTTATCATAATTTTCATTTAATATTAGGTTTTATTTGTACAAGCAATTAAGGTACTTTATATTTATTGATTTTTCATATGATTTATTTAATTGCAAAAATGATTCTATTTATCATACCTTTGAACCTCTGAATATTGTACGAAGCATTTGATGGTAAGGAACTCTGGAGCTTCTTTAATTCTGCATCATCATAGCAATGGTGTACTTGCTTTCCCCTCTCAACCTAGTCATTTCAACAAAAGATGAAGTGTAAACTAAAATACAGTTCTTTTGACATCATTCTGAATACATCTTACTTGGGCTAGGAAACAAAAGTCTACACGAAGTACACAAGGGTGAACAAGTTGTCCACACAAAAAATCACAAGCTGTCCCTGAAACAAACCTTGTAAAGAGGTGGAACACCAACGTAAATGCAACCTTCATCATATAAGGTTTTCTGCAACCAAGAACTACAACTTAACTTTTCTTCAAAACTACATGCACTAGAAAGTAAGATTTCATTTTTTCTTCTTTCTTGTAATCTAGAATACAACTTTCACCATTATCTACCTGATATCTGTAGAAAAATGTCAATAGCAAAGTTCGAATATGAGCACCATCTACATCAGCATCTGTTAAGATGATGATCTTGTGATAACGAAGAGCCTCCTTTTTAAAATCTTCTCCCTGAAGCGAGAAGATTTTAAACACCACGTATATGTCAAGTGGTAACCCCAAATAAATAAATGAACCAATCTATGAAATAAAACTAACAACGAATGTTTTACCTTCACTCCAAGTCCAAGAGCACGGATTAGATTCTGGATTTCTTCATTCTTGTACATTGCTGCCTCATCCTTTCTTTCAACATTCAAAATTTTTCCTCTCAAAGGCAGAATAGCCTGTCCAAAAATGTTTCCATGAACACAGCACAAAAATTCAAACATACAAAGAGGGTTATAAAAAATGTTATTATTGAGAAACATGAGTCAGGGTAATTGATATTAAGTGATTGAGCATCCAATCTGGAGAATTAGTTCAAACCCTGCAATGTGCCCACTTGTGGAAAATAGCTTACTCATAAGATGCACACATCATGTCCTGCTGTTCCAATGGATATATAGAATAATTCAACAAGTCAATGGAACAGTAAAAAAGAAATGTGGTCTAAGATCACTCTCCAGATTGCACCAATTCTTCTATATTGCACAATACTATTAAAGAAGTCTCCATTACCATATTAATTGTTGCTTTCAAACACAAAATCTTTTATATCGACCACAACAGAATTCCACATCCTCATTACAGAAAACAAATTCAGTCCAACCTTTATTGGTTATGCTAACAGCAATGGAAAGAAAGAACTAAACTGCGACCAAATGATTCTATAAATGTCTATCAGGTGTAATGGTATGTGATCTCAATTTTGCATTGTTATAGAAATCAACACTAAAAGTCATAATTTATTTTTCTCAAGGATTCTTAGCTAGCCAAATATTTTCAATAGTAATGCTACATTTACAAAGAAATNATATTGTACGAAGCATTTGATGGTAAAGAACTCTGGAGCTTCTTTAATTCTGCATCATCATAGCAATGGTGTACTTGCTTTCCCCTCTCAACCTAGTCATTTCAACAAAAGATGAAGTGTAAACTAAAATACAGTTCTTTTGACATCATTCTGAATACATCTTACTCGGGCTAGGAAACAAAAGTCTACAAGAAGTACACAAGGGTGAACAAGTTGTCCACACAAAAAATCACAAGCTGTCCCTGAAACAAACCTTGTAAAGAGGTGGAACACCAACGTAAATGCAACCTTCATCATATAAGGTTTTCTGCAACCAAGAACTACAACTTAACTTTTCTTCAAAACTACATGCACTAGAAAGTAAGATTTCATTTTTTCTTCTTTCTTGTAATCTAGAATACAACTTTCACCATTATCTACCTGATATCTGTAGAAAAATGTCAATAGCAAAGTTCGAATATGAGCACCATCTACATCAGCATCTGTTAAGATGATGATCTTGTGATAACGAAGAGCCTCCTTTTTAAAATCTTCTCCCTGAAGCGAGAAGATTTTAAACACCACGTATATGTCAAGTGGTAACCCCAAATAAATAAATGAACCAATCTATGAAATAAAACTAACAACGAATGTTTTACCTTCACTCCAAGTCCAAGAGCACGGATTAGATTCTGGATTTCTTCATTCTTGTACATTGCTGCCTCATCCTTTCTTTCAACATTCAAAATTTTTCCTCTCAAAGGCAGAATAGCCTGTCCAAAAATGTTTCCATGAACACAGCACAAAAATTCAAACATACAAAGAGGGTTATAAAAAATGTTATTATTGAGAAACATGAGTCAGGGTAATTGATATTAAGTGATTGAGCATCCAATCTGGAGAATTAGTTCAAACCCTGCAATGTGCCCACTTGTGGAAAATAGCTTACTCATAAGATGCACACATCATGTCCTGCTGTTCCAATGGATATATAGAATAATTCAACAAGTCAATGGAACAGTAAAAAAGAAATGTGGTCTAAGATCACTCTCCAGATTGCACCAATTCTTCTATATTGCACAATACTATTAAAGAAGTCTCCATTACCATATTAATTGTTGCTTTCAAACACAAAATCTTTTATATCGACCACAACAGAATTCCACATCCTCATTACAGAAAACAAATTCAGTCCAACCTTTATTGGTTATGCTAACAGCAATGGAAAGAAAGAACTAAACTGCGACCAAATGATTCTATAAATGTCTATCAGGTGTAATGGTATGTGATCTCAATTAATTTTGCATTGTTATAGAAATCAACACTAAAAGTCATAATTTATTTTTCTCAAGGATTCTTAGCTAGCCAAATATTTTCAATAGTAATGCTACATTTACAAAGAAATTTTATAAAGATCTCTATTCAAAGTGATGTGGTAAAAAATGAATGAAAGAGTGAATATAATGAGTTTGACTTTTTGTTTTACTCTTCCATTCATTTTTTATCACATTACTTTGTATGGAAATCTTTGTAAGATTTATTTATAAGTATAGTATTATTGTATTTTCAAACTGCAGACAAACTACTTGCTACCAAAAGTAATAATTTCTAACATCCACCAAAAGGTCATTACACAGTGTCAGAGATGTATAGCAAGAGAAAGAAATACAAAAAGGGAAATAAAATAAAAGAAGGAATAAACAGAAAGACAGGTGGCAGAAAAGAACAAAATCAGATAGAAAGACTACAAATTACAGAAAAGAGAATCAGAGGGTTAAGGAACTTGAAGAAAAGAATATTATTTTTTCCCAACTACCATTCGTAGGTTATGCCTTATTTATTACCTGAAAGCGTCTATCACGGCCTTGTTTTGCACTTCCACCAGCAGAATCCCCTTCAACAATAAAAATTTCTGCAAACATTGGATAATATAGATCAAGGAATTCAGAAACCTACAACTATAAATGCAACAAAACAATGAGTCACAAAATCCAAACAACTAAAAGAGGTAAAAAAGATTCAAGGCTGAAACAAATGTATTGAGAAAAGTTTTATCTTTTTCAAAAGAAGAATAACCCAGTATATTTTTCATAAAATTTGTCACCCTAAATTTTTACCTTTCAAACCAACATTTACTAGAAACAAAATTAAGCAGTGATAGTTGTTCATTTAATAAATGCATAGTTACATAAAGTGAAATGGTTGTCCCAAACAAAACAGCTTCCCGGAGAAATAAATAAGACATCTTGTTACCCAAAAAAATCTTCAATATACATTGACAAAAGGCCGTCTACAAATATCATGAACTAAAAGTTATAGACTCACACAAATACAAAAGTAGATATGATTGGTGTTTATGCAATAGCCATAAAACTGTTAAGAGAAAAAAAATCCTCTTGCCAAAATCACATACTACACATAAGTGATTTTAAACATTTAAATGAGATTTGGAAGGCTTCAATTTCTTCCCATGTGCCAACTTCTTCAGTGGACTTTGGTTCCAGGCAAATAAATGCCAGTGAAGTAATCCAAAGAAAACGACCTATGGTGAATCTTTCCCCTTCCTCGTATATGATGTCTAGAGGAAGTATCGAGAGCTCTAATCACTTATTCTTTCAGTGTTCAATGGCTTCAAATTTATGGACCAGAGCTTGTTTAGAAGCTAAGAAAACAACCTATGGTGAATCTTTCCCCCTCCTGGTATGTGATTCATTGGCCAACCTCTGATCATTTCTTCATTGTTTAATACCCTGACTTGTTTAGAGGCTTCAAAATTATGGATAATGTAGTTGCCTTTGGAAGAGGAAAGAAAGTCAAACCATTTGAAGATGTGCTGTTTAGCTCTTCATTTAGTGACTTGACAAGAAAGAAATAATCAAATAATTGGTGAAAAAGACAAGAAAATATAGCAGGTTAATTGATAGAGTTTGCCTTTTTGCTTCTATTAGGCTTCAGCTGCTGATGAGTTTCAAGATTCTTCTATTTCCCTTATTCATCACAATTAGGAAGGGGGATTCTAAGCTAATTTCATGTAGTTTGTGATTTACTTGTAGAAGGTAAGGATAATTAGTCACTGCAAACAAGCGTTATAGCTTTGTTTCCCTGTTCTTTTTTCTTTTTTTTTTTTTTCAAAAAGACATAAAAGACATTATTATAAAATAAAATTAGAATACAAGGATGTGAGCTAGAAATCCAAACAAGAAGACAACCAAAAAAAAAAAAAAAAACTACAGCATCAACACTACAAGAACTCACTCAAATAAGGCTAAGAAATTCACAGAACTGAAGCCAGAAAAGTTGTCCAATCCCTTTGAGTAAAGAAAAAGAAGTCCCCTCAAATTGTTTTGTAGTTGATACACACAGACAAGCAACAGTATGAACTCTTTCCCAAGGGAGTCCCAAACCCTACACCAACTGTAACCCAAATCCACCTATATGAATTATTAACCCTAACCTCCATTTATAGTGCAGGTACCTAAAGCCTATAGGATGATGAAGAATCTAGAATCTACACAAGTAGTAAATGTTTTATTTTTGGAATTCATATATTTTATTAATTGTTTTAGTTAGATTCCGTTTTCCTATAGTTGATTTAGGAAGGATAAAAATAAGGCAGATAAAGAATAGATAGATATAAGGAGAAAGGAAGGGGAGATAAACTAGAGACTAAGAAAAAAGGAGAATACCAGCGACCAAGAGTAAGAAATAGATAAATTTAGGAGACTATTTTCATTATTCACTAATCATCAAGTGACTCAAGTCTACAAAAAACTATAAACCAGGGCCCTATTTATATAGTGGCTAGTCCTAAACGAAATAAGAAATAGAAACTTCTGCTAAGAACAAAGTCTAACTAAAACAAGTAATAAAATATATGTTTCATATATGAATAGGTTCAAGATTCTCCAAATTGGCGTTTTCCAGTATCAGCTGTACATGAAGATATAGAAAAAAAGAAAACATATCTCTAAGAAAAAATCAGGATCAGCAAACAAATTCTGAGTTGGAACTATGAGAATATAGAAAATGTAATAAGAGTACACATGCCAGCTATAAAATTCGCTTAAGTTAAACAGTTCTTCCAATTAAGCAAGTTGTACTTTATCTTGATATTATCAATTAATAAAATAAACTTTTGATCAAACACCAGTTATACAGAGTAAACAACATAGGTAGAATCACTAAATGAAGATTGTAAGTATCTAATTACCTATAACTTCATAAATCTAAATTGCAAATAATGTACATGAATGTAAAAGTGAATATACAAACCAGAATCTTCAGGATTTGTGGATGAGCAATCAGCCAATTTTCCTGGAAGCGATGATGACCGCAATACACTCTTTTGTCTCACCAAGTCCCTTGCCCTCTTTGCTGCCAGAGCCGCCTAAATTATGGAGTTAAAAATATGAGGAAAGCTTTCAAGTTTAACAGCTTGTTGCAATTGGACTCGTGAGTCCTTGATCATGTGAATTGATACATTGAAATGTTTACTGAAACAAGGATATTTCAAATTACAAAAGGGATACCTTGAGAGCACTTAGAGACTTGGAAAGGATTGAATCAAGTACATCTGGATGCAACTCCAAAAATTCAGTAAGATACTCCTGAACAGATTGATCAACCACTTTCCGCACCTCAGGATTTCCCAACCTTGTCTTTCAGTGATAGAGAGAAAGCCATGAAGTTAGGCATCATCAATGAAAGGAGTAATTGCTAACAACAGTATCAAATTGGCCAAAGCATCATGACAACCAAATACATCAGTACCCAAGGAAATTTTGTGAATAGGAAGTACCTTTGTTTGCCCTTCAAACTCTGGATTTGGAACTTTGACTGAGACAATGCATGTCAATCCCTCCCTAACGTGTTCACCACTTAAACTAATATCCTTATCCTGAAAAAGAACCATTACCATAATGAACATGACAATAGCTTTTATCCTCATCCTGTTCATGTCACAATTAATGTTTGTTATGTATTGGACAGACACTAATCAAATTTTCTTCTTGCAATGCATAATCAATTTTCCTCTGTAAGAGGAGCACTTCATATGTTGGGACTTGCAATGTCATAACTCATTCTCCTAGTAGCACTTAATCTCTTCCCAATACCAATTTTCGCAACTCAAAAGGTTGGGACTAGGAAGTTTACACTTAATCAAGGACAAAGATGGCTAAAGCATATAATCAAAAGTCCTTCTCCTTCTCCCTTTCCTTTTTCCTTTTTCGTTGTAGTTATTCAAATCCTTCCAGCTATAATGACAATTAAAGACAACTGATACAAATTGAAGAACACAACTAGAAAAACACACCTTCACAATTTTTGATTTCTTCCCAAGATTATTGAGAGTTCTTGTCAATGAAGCCTTAACACCATCAATATGTGTGCCACCATCAACAGTACGTATGCTGTTAGCATACCCCAACATTGTATCTGAATATGCATCGGAACACCTAGTAATGCAAGAAACAAGAACTAAATAAAATAACTTCAATTACTCACTAATATATAAGGACCGTTAATAATTGTTTTAAAAAAAAAAAACACTATTTTGTCAAATGAAAACTAACTAAACTTTGTACTTTTAAAAAAAATGATATTCTAACTACAGAACTGTTAAAGTATGTGAGACTTATATTTGAAAGATGTTTTGGAAAAATAAAATAATATTTTTTGCAAAATCAAAAGACTTAATTTCATTATTTATTTGAGGTTTGGGGATTTCGATATTTATGTCTAGTTATTACTTGTTAAAGTTAGATTTATTTTTTAATTAGATTTTTGTTATTTGACCTTGGAGTCAAATTGATCTATGACATATACATTCTTTAAATGAGCAGAAGTTTGTTTTTTATTGAGCTTATATCACAACATGGACTACGCAACATTTCAAGGCATTTGATTTCAGATCAAGGATCAAGAACTTTAAGACCTTAAACATACCTCTTTGTAAGCTTTTTACGAAGTAAATGACTCAAAAAGTATGATCAAGGGTTAATGCTCAATGAGAATTTATAAACAATTTTTGTTTTATTAAAAATGTGGCAAATTAAAGTGAAAATAAAAATAAAACTTTCAACCAATCATATGAATAATACTTTCTGCAGCAACTAGAGCTTTGGTTACTGTAGAAATTGAACTTCTGATTTTCTTTAGGTGCAAAAATCGAAACTTGAGAAAACAAAGCTGTGAGAAAATTGAAGTTCAGATTTGTCAGAAACCTGGACTTCCTATCATCATGATTTTAGATTTTCAATTACTTTAACAATTATCAAAGTTTGTACATCACAACTGGAATTACTCTTGAGGACTAAAGTTTCATGTTATCACTATAAAATATCTACAAAATAACCATCATTTTTTTCAAGCAATTTTTTCAGCTTATCATGAAATCACAAACAAAGCAATGAAATAAAAATTCCATTTAGTTAAGACAACTCAATCTTAAATTATAGAAAGACCGGGACTAAATAGCCTTTACATCACAAAGTGCCCACATAATTATCTAAGGTCAACATAAATTTGAAATAGAAGAGAACAAATTTTGAAAACAATACCAGACACACCATTTGTATCTCATAAATTTGTAAATGTAAAATATAAACAAAAATAAAAATAGGTATATTTGATGCCTACTATGATGTTCTTAATTTTACAACTGCTGCAACCATCGATTCTTACTTGAATGAATCACACAAGATGCAGATATAATAGAAGATCCATCATATGTCCAGTGAAGTAACTTTTTACTTAATTCTTTAACAATAATTGTCAGGATAACAGGTTTTCTATAAGGAAAAGGAAAGCATTCAGCAAACCCATGAGAGAGAGAAATAAAGTTGTTTACCACTGGAGAGCTAAATCAATCGTAATTCCATCTACTTCCTTTGTAAAGCCCACAACGTCATGAAGTGGTTTCTGGATCATTTAAAAAAGTCAGTCATCATTTAATGCACAGGATAAATTTGCCAATCCACAGAGAAAAAAATATATATATGGGGAGCCTCAAAGTTTTCTCTAGGTACCACATTTCTGAATGCATGCATATTCTCATGAACTCTAGAAAAACTAGCCAAAAGTTATGGCACTTACGATTAATCTTGTACCTGAGTAAGCAAGCCAACCCCCTCAATTCCAAGACTAAAAGGAAATTCAGTAAAAAATCCAAGTTTAAGAAGTCTCATGTCAGTGGCCTAATGATCAAAACTATTCTAGAAGACTCTCTAGAAGCTTTTCATCTCCTTACACTACTATCCTAATTCTCGCTCAGCCCTAAACATTAAAAAAAAAAAAAAAATATAAAAAAAAACCTTAAACCATGTGCATCCATCTCCCAAATATGCTACAAGGATGGCACCTAGGCTCTTACATGTCATTATTGCATGTGCTATATCTGGCTAGCTCAAGTACAAAGAGATTCGAATAATCTTGGGTCGAAATTGTCTCCTCAAAATGGAAAGACAAGGACATGTTTGGTTTGTGATCTTAAAATCATTTTCAAAAATCAAAACATTATCCAAAATTTTGAGTTCAATTTCAATATTTTAGTATCTAAAACAGGTTTCCTATAAGACTGACGAATTGTTTCGAAGTAAGAAATTATGGAAAACAAGAAAATAAATCTAATTCAAGAATTACAAATAGCTTTTAGGAATATATTCAAATTGATTTTTAGAAACATTTCAATCAAAATAAATTAATTGCTACAGTATTCAGCAAGAGTCCAAGCAAAAATAAATAATTTTTTTTGGGACATTATTTCCTTAACAATTGAGGATTTGAATTGAATCATGTGAGTTTTTTTATAGATTATATGAATGACAGAGGTTTAGTCCTCCACTTGGGAATGCAAACAATTTGAGCTGAAAATGGTTTGGTCTAACGCTATTCCATCAAAAAAAAAAAAAAAAGGACAAGAAACTGATCATAGCCAACAACAAAAGCGAAATAAAATAAACAAGATCTGACATTGAACAATAAGATCTACGAAGGGAAAGCATTAGAGGTAAAATAAAGGTACCTTTTCAGTATTTAACCATTTCACATATTCCACCAAACCCCCAGCAAAAAAATATTCATTATATAGGTTCTTCTCTGGGTCAACGTCAACCTTCCTAAGAGTGATTGTAAGCTGGAGTGGTCAAGAGAGGAGAGAAACAACATTTAAGATGCAAGGAAACAGTAAAGTTTAGATTGACACCCAGCTATAAGAATTAGAAATAATAACTAGCCACAAATAATTATTCAAATTAAGAATAGATAGGCAAATATTTATTTCTCACAAAAACAACTACCGAAAGTGAAAAGACCAGAGTTGGCATAATTATAAACTATAGCATCACCTTTGGGTTTAGAAAAGCAAGCTCTCTGATTCTTCCAGCTATTGTATTGTAGTCAAACTGAATGGCTGTGCTAAATACTAGAGGAGAGGTTCAAAGCCATCAAGAAAAGAAAAATGTTGATCACCAAATGCAAAAGTAAGATCCCAATCTTCGAGAGAAAGTATATAATGTATTAAAGAGTCAAGAAAACCTTCTTTGTCAGGCCAAAATCTTATGCGTGTCCCCTGGCGGTCCTTTGAATCAACAGGAAGCACATGACATGTTAGAGTTGTCATGGGCTTCCCGCGAGAATATTTCTGCTGGTATTCCATTCCTTCACGCCAAACTGTAACTTCTAATACCTGTAAGCAAGACACAATAGAATTACAAAAATTAACATTATATAAGCTCACAGCCAGCATTCACATCACAGAGAAAAAGTAATCACTGATAATGACCTTAATTTGGAAGAGAATTCTAATATAATGTCATTACTATTATCGAAAATTTAAACTTTCAGGAGTGGCACTACTTATAGGCCTCGCCTCAATTTAAAAATTGTCACACACAGAATTTTTATGTTTCTCTCTCTCTCTCTCTTTTTTCTTTTTGGTGATAGGAAACCAGGATTTTTTGTTAATGAGTAAAAGGAACTACAAAACAGGACCTGGTGTCCATAAAAGCAAAGCGAAAGAACCCAAGAGGGGGCAAAAGCTATACAAATATGGAGCAAGAAATAAGGAGACATTCCTCTCACATTGGTTAAAATCCATGGTAACGCTTAACACATGCATGCACACACAGGCAGCAACATATGGTTAGCTTCACCATCAGCTAAAACAATTGTTAAAATACTAAGATTCTCATAGAGTATAATTTCAAACACTCATCTTCAAAACTAGTTAGGGCAAAAGAAAGGCCAGGCACGGACCCCTACCAGTAAAATAAAAGTATAACAATCTAGAAGGATGATAGGGACATTAATAAAATTGAACCATAACTCAACACAACTAGACAATCCAACAAAAATAAGAAGTATTTAACTAGATCACAAAAAAAGGAAAAAGAACAGAACCACCAAATGGAAATCTAAAGTCAGAAAACACACCTCAGATAAGGCATTAACAACGGATAAACCCACACCATGTAATCCACCAGATACACTATAACCACTACTAGAACCACCAAATTTTCCACCAGCATGTAAGACCTGCAAAATATGATAGCATAGATCAATCAAAACACAATTGAACTGTTTAAAGAAAATACTAATTTAATAATTTAACAAACATAAAAATATAGAAATCAATAGACAAGAAATTCTCTATTAAATATTATTCAAGTTTCATCTAAAACTTGCAGGCATCTCTATCATCCAGATCCATCAGCACCAGAACATGTGACTGATGCTCTTCCTACATTCAATGCAAAGCAATGATCTTAGAAAGGTATGAAAGAAACAAGGCAAATTTATAAGTACTGCTGAAACAAAAATTTTAAAAATTAAGTGCTACTTCCCCTTAATAATTCCAAACTCAAAATTAATGAAAGTTGAAGTTCTTTCTAAATAAGATAGTAAGGTCTAATCATCCAAGCCATGAATATCCATCTTCCAAAAGAAGCAAGTGTTTCCAGGTCAATTAATTCCCAAACAGTGATGATTAGGTCCTTTCAATTTCAAACGAGATTTGATTGACAGCTTTCCAGAATTGTTTCAGGTTCTATAATCTTATAGGGTGGCCGAGGCTCTAACAAGCATTGGTGTGAACTACATGCAAAAAAATTTCAAATTTTCAAGCTTCAACAAGCAAAGCAAAAATCTAGCCCTATTATCTAGTATTAAAAGAATGCATGCGACAGAGGTTCAAAAGCTTCAACAAGCAAAGCAAAAATCTAGCCCCATTATCTAGTATTAAAAGAATGCATGCGACAGAGGTTCAAAAGCTTCAACAAGCAAAGCAAAAATCTAGCCCCATTATTTACTATTAAAAGAATGCATGCGACAGAGGTTCAAAAACTAAACATATCGCAATAATGTGTCAAAATAAGCTCATCATTGAGACAATCACAGTATGTATGCCAACTGATATAGCGTATTCATTCATTACACAATTTACCAAATCAAAAAGTTTGACAATTCATGTACAGTATTTAGCCATATGTTATTAAGAAAATGAGATCAGATGCTATCCTGAGTTAAGAGCGTAAAATGAAAATGACTGTTTAGCAACAATACCGTCAATACTGTCTCCAAGGAAGATTTGTTTGTCACAGGATGCAAGTCAGCAGGAATCTGCAATGTACAGTTAAAAAACAAGAAAGTAAGTCAAATAGAAGGAAAACACAACGAAAGCTAGAAATAAATGACGCAAAGTTCATCCAAAATTATACAAAATATATATACATATACAACAATAAGGACTAGCACAGTATGTTAAACAGAATGAATGTTTACTACATATGCTCATATGAAATTAATGGAAGTTACTTGTTTGTCACATACTTTCAGGGCACCTTATGCCCAAGTAGATAAAAATCATATAGAAGTTACAATATTTGATTTTTAGATTTTGACCCAAAGTACCTAAAAATGACCATAACATTGTGATGGACAATACTTTTTCCACAAGACAACTGACCACAATGAAAGTGTATGACAACAGTATCCTCTTACAACATACATGCCCACAACTTTGACTGCAGCACCAAAATTGAGCAAATGGTAAAACAAGCATGGAGAAATTCTAGACACTGGATATATAACTAAAAGAAATAAATATAATGAAATGAGCAGAAAACGTTTAAAACACAAAAGGGAACTACAGACAGAATTTTCAGTTTGACTGGTTGGCTTCTTGCCTCTGCTTTGACCAGTCATAATAGCCAAGCAACTATTCTTTGATATCTTAATAAACATCAACCCAACAAAGAAAACATTAACCATTTGCTTTACTGATAAAGAAAGATGTTACATACCCCGCGACCATTGTCAGTGATGCTGGCAGAATTATCTGGAAGCAGTACAACTTCAATTTTTGAAGCATACCCGGCTTGGGCCTCATCAACAGCATTGTCCAATATTTCATAAACCTTAGCGAAAGAAGTAAAGTAATTATACAAACCTTGCTTTTCAATTGACTAAGACAAGCCGGGAAAAGAGCATACCAAATGATGCAAACCACGAGGTCCTGTGTTTCCAATGTACATAGCTGGCCTTTTCCTAACAGCTTCTAAGCCTTCAAGAACCTAGATATACAGGAAAATCATCTAAATCTCCAAAAAAAAAAAAAAAAAAAAAGGAGGAGAATGAGAAAACTTACCTGTATTTGTTCGGAGCCGTAAGACTTTGAGCTGGGGCTTTCTGTAAAAGCTTCAGTTGTAATAGAAGACGACATGAATGCCCTCAGTGGAAAAACATTTTTTCCTATCAAAATTTGACTTGAAACCCTCCTCAGCGGAAAATTTACACTGAAACAAGACAACATATTAAGTTTTCCCGAGAAACAAACAGAAAATAATTGGTAAAAGAGAGAAAAAAAAACTAACCTGGGTTTGGAGAAGAGAGAGGAGAAGCAGTGAGAGTTACAAGCGGAGAAACATCGAGAGGCCATAAAAATGCGAAGATGTAGATAAGGAGGTTTTACAAGAAGACGCGCCATCAAACGAAGAAGTATAGAGCAAGACAGAGGGCTTCTCTTCTCAAAAGATAAACCCTCCTATATTTTTTACAATAAACTCCTTTGCTTTCCCTCCTTACGAAGTCTGAACCGCCGAATTTATTTTTTGAATGACCCTATAGGGCGTTTGGTTGGGTTTAACTGGGATTACTAAAGTCATCTTATATTACTTGATTAATATGTTTGATTGTCGAGTAATATAAGATATCGATATTAATAGTGGTTATTATTGGTAATATTGGAGGTAATCTAATTACCTCTATTTTTTTAGATATTCTAAGATTAATAGACTATCTTTTTTTTTTTACAATTTTATCTCTTATTAATAAAATTTTAGGAAAATAATGGCCTTATTTTTTAATTTATTTACATGAATATAGCTTTTACTATTTCACCTCAATTAATTAACTTTTTGGACAAAATTACTTTTAAATTCAAAACAAATTGTAGCCCACCCAAGCCACCTGCTACCACGGCCAGCTGTCGTCGCTGTCAAAACGATGCACGGAAAGCCAAAAAAGGTCGTCGTGCACCGATATGGCCATTTCTGGCTAGATATTTGGTCGAAAATGGCTAGATCGATGACGGATATGGTCATCGACCAAATCCGTCATCATCTGGCCGTCAACGATCAAATCGATGGCCGTTGTGGCTGTCGACGGCCAGATCCATCACGTCTGGCCATTTTAGGCCAGATCTTTGGCCGGAAATGTCCACACAGCGCACAGAGGTCATTTCCTACCTTTCGTGCGCCGTTAGGTTGCCGGTTGCCTACGACCTGCGGTGGTTACTGGCGATTGGCAGTGGTTGGGTTGTGGGGGTGCTTTGTTGATTTTTCAAACTTTTATTATGGGGTTGTTTTTGCTGAGTTTTTAAATGCAATGGGGTTATATAATCCAAATAATAATCAATGTTAAAAAATAATATAATAATAATATTTAATTAGAGGACAATTCAGTAATTGAAAAATATACCCACCAATTTATTCCTCCCAACCAAATATATTAATATAACACACCCACCAATTAACCAAATACATTTTCTTGAAGATTCCCAGTAATCTTCAAGATTTCTAGTAATCTTCAAGGTAATCTAATTTTTCAGTAATCCAACATTCCTTCAACATTCACTGAACCAAACGCCCTATAGGGTGAATTACAAAAGAGATAATTACTTAAATAACCCATTTTTTAGAGTCAAATTGATAAATAACCCCTTTCAAATTGCATTAGTAAATATTAGACCTGGCAAACGGGTGGGTGGGCCGGGTACGGGTCGAGTCAAACGGGTACGGGTCCTTATACGGGTCGATCTATACGGGTCCAATATTTTGCACCCGTGCCCTACCCTATACGGGTACGGGTGGACCCGTTTTTTCTCTCTCCATATTTTAGTTTTACATTTTACCCCTAATAGTTTTCAATTATGACAATTACACCTCCAAAATTCCTACAGTTTTAATTTTTTACATTTACACCCCCTAAATCAACTACTCTAAATTCAATTCAATACAGTCTCCAAGGAAGATTTGTTTGTCACAGGATGCAAGTCAGCAGGAATCTGCAATGTACAGTTAAAAAACAAGAAAGTAAGTCAAATAGAAGGAAAACACAACGAAAGCTAGAAATAAATGACGCAAAGTTCATCCAAAATTATACAAAATATATATACATATACAACAATAAGGACTAGCACAGTATGTTAAACAGAATGAATGTTTACTACATATGCTCATATGAAATTAATGGAAGTTACTTGTTTGTCACATACTTTCAGGGCACCTTATGCCCAAGTAGATAAAAATCATATAGAAGTTACAATATTTGATTTTTAGATTTTGACCCAAAGTACCTAAAAATGACCATAACATTGTGATGGACAACACTTTTTCCACAAGACAACTGACCACAATGAAAGTGTATGACAACAGTATTCTCTTACAACATACATGCCCACAACTTTGACTGCAGCGCCAAAATTGAGCAAATGGTAAAACAAGCATGGAGAAATTCTAGACAATGGATATATAACTAAAAGAAATAAATATAATGAAATGAGCAGAAAACGTTTAAAACACAAAAGGGAACTACAGACAGAATTTTCAGTTTGACTGGTTGGCTTCTTGCCTCTGCTTTGACCAGTCATAATAGCCAAGCAACTATTCTTTGATATCTTAATAAACATCAACCCAACAAAGAAAACATTAACCATTTGCTTTACTGATAAAGAAAGATGTTACATACCCCGCGACCATTGTCAGTGATGCTGGCAGAATTATCTGGAAGCAGTACAACTTCAATTTTTGAAGCATACCCGGCTTGGGCCTCATCAACAGCATTGTCCAATATTTCATAAACCTTAGCGAAAGAAGTAAAGTAATTATACAAACCTTGTTTTTCAATTGACTAAGACAAGCCGGGAAAAGAGCATACCAAATGATGCAAACCACGAGGTCCTGTGTTTCCAATGTACATAGCTGGCCTTTTCCTAACAGCTTCTAAGCCTTCAAGAACCTAAATATACAGGAAAATCATCTAAATCTCCATAAAAAAAAAAAAAAAAAAAAGGAGGAGAATGAGAAAACTTACCTGTATTTGTTCGGAGCCGTAAGACTTTGAGCTGGGGCTTTCTGTAAAAGCTTCAGTTGCAATAGAAGACGACATGAATGCCCTCGGTGGAAAAACAATTTTTCCTATCAAAATTTGACTTGAAACCCTCCTCAGCGGAAAAGTTACACTGAAACAAGACAACATATTAAGCTTTCCCGAGAAACAAACAGAAAATAATTAGAAAAAGAGAGAAAAAAAAAACTAACCTGGGTTTGGAGAAGAGAGAGGAGAAGCAGTGAGAGTTACAAGCGGAGAAACATCGAGAGGCCATAAAAATGCGAAGATGTAGATAAGGAGGTTTTACAAGAAGACGCGCCATCAAACGAAGAAGTAAAGAACAAGACAGAGGGCTTCTCTTCTGAAAAGATAAACCCTCCTATATTTTTTACAATAAACTCCTTTGCTTTCCCTCCTTACTAAGTCTGAACCGCCGAATTTATTTTTTGAATGACCCTAGGGGCGTTTGGTTGCGGTTTATCGTGGAATCTAGAGTCATCTTATATTACTTTATTATTATATTTAGTTATTGAGTAATATAAGATATCAGTATCAATAACGGTTATTATTAATAATATTGGAGATAATCTGATTACTTTCATTTTTTTAGGTATTTTAAGATTAGCAGAGTTATCGTTTTTTTTTACAATTTTATCTCTTATTAATAAAATTTTAGGAAAATAATGGCCTTATTTTTTAATTTATTTACATGAATATAGTTTTTACTATTTCACCTCAATTAATTAACTTTTTAGACAAAATTACTTTTAAATTCAAAACAAATTATAGCCCACCCAAGCCACCACCCCCACCCACCTGCTGCTGCGGCCAGTTGTTGTCGCCATCGGAACGGTGCACAGAAAGTCGAAAATGGCCGTCGTGCGTCGATATGGCCATTTCCGGCTAGATATTTGGCCGGAAATGGCTAAATCGATGACGAATATGATCGTCAGCCAAATCTGTCATCATCTGGCCAGCAATAGTCAAATCGATGGCCGTTGTGGCCGTCGACGGCCAGATCCATCACGTCTGGCCATTTCATGCCAGATCTCTGGCCGGAAATGTCCACACAGCGCACGGAGGCCATTTCCTGCCTTCCGTGCCCCGTTAGGTTGCCGGTTGCCTACGACCTACTGTGGTTGCTGGCGATTGGCAGTGGCTGGGTTGTGGGGGTACTTTGTTGATTTTTCAAACTTTTTGTTATGAGGTTATTTTTGCTGAGTTTTTAAATGCAAGGGGGTTATATAATCCAAATAATAATCAATATTAAAAAATAATATAATAATAATATTTAATTAGAGGATAATTCAGTAATTTAAAAATATATCCACCAATTTATTCCTTTTAACCAAACATATTAATATAACATACCCACCAATTAACCAAACACATTTTCTTAAAGATTCCCAGTAATCTTCAAGATTTCCAGTAATCTAACTTTCCAATAATCCAACATTCCTAGTAATTCAACATTCACTTAACCAAACGCCCCCTAGGATGAATTACAAAAGAAATAATTACTTAAATAACCCATTTTTAAGAGTCAAATTGATAAATAACCCCTTTCAAATTGCATTAGTGAATATGACCTTTTATAAGATAATTGGACACACAAAAAATTGCAGAGAATACGACATACAGAATGTTTGAATTGAAAAGAAAGAGACGTAATTGATATTCTAATTTCAAATAATTACAATTTTTTTATTATCATCTTATTTATCTAATTAATACATTCAGAATTTGTAGCTTTTAATCCACTTACTCCATCGAAAAAATATCACCGTGATGAAGGCATTTATGAAAACCAGAGCAATGTATTGCATGATGTACTTAAGCATCAAGGTAACTGTGCTTCTTTTAATTAATTTAATGCGAGAAATACATATTTGTTAATTATTTTGTGTACAAAGAATTTGCAATACATCTTTAGTAGCAACGATGTAGATATTACTAACATACTACTAATAAAATTGTGGAACAAGTTTATTTGTTTTATAGCAATCTGACAGTGTTATTATTATTATTTTGAATTCCAACAGACATATTGAAGAAGCAAAAATTCAAAGAGAGTAGGGCATATAGAAAGCAAAGGAAAGCTAAAGAAAATATTGTAATTATTTTAAAATGTATGAAAGTTTACATTTTAAAATAATTACAATATTTTATCTTGATATTTATCTAATTACTACATTTATAATTTGTAGCTCTTATACCATCTAAAAACAAAAAGCTAAGGAAAAGGTTACTCCGTCAAAAAAACAACGTGACTTATACAAATTTTTGCAAATAATTACCATGTTTTAATTATGATAATATTTATCTAATATATATATATATATATATAATTTGCAGGTATTAATGAACGCAAAAAACAAAGATCTAATGTAGATATTACTCCATCAGAAAAATGTGACTGTAAGTTCTATAAGTATTACCGAAATTTTTTTTTTTTTTTTCAAGCAATA